CTCAGTCATTCTAATTATAATTGATAAAGCATCACAGATACTATTTCAATATACTTATCAGACATTCTGTCTAATTATCTGTCTATTAGTGAAAAGCTGTGTTTAGATCTCACAAGATCTTCAGTATAGTTATCAGATCAGATCAGAACTCTTCTGTGAAGATTAATCTTCTATCTGAGACAATGTTCACAGATAATTCATATAACTGAATCACATTGCAGATAAAGATATGAGTCAAATTCTTTAACTTCAAGTTCTTGCAGATGAGTATAAAGTGTGTTATCTTGATAAAATAATTCACTATCATCAGCATACTGTCAAAGCAGGCATTATATATGTTCTTGCTTTCAGAGAGACTTATAAGAGTATTCATTTCTAGCTGTTCTCAAGATTTCTGCAGAATGAGTAGAGAAGTAAGTTCTTCATATAATCTGAACTGCACTATCCGCGAATTCTGATAAATAGTATAAGAATTCACTATCTTCTTCACAAGTTCTCACATCTTCAGCTAGAAGTATTTTCTTATAAGTAACTTATAAGTTCTAGTATCTGTAAAATGATCTGCTAGAGAAGAGTCATGATACCTTTTAATGAGTTCTATACATAGAAACTTATTCACAGGTATATAAATCCAGCTCTCTCTTTACAAGAGATTATTTAAGTCTCTTTAATTCTTTGTTTCTGCAGAGTTGATCTCTATTATAAGCAGTTTCTGAATATACTGAGTATATTCATTCTTCAGTTACAGTTCAGACAATCTGAATAGAAGATCTTACAAAGACTTATACTCTGTTTTCTCTTATATCAGGTCTTTTACAGCACTTCTCAAAGTCTGTAAATTCTTCAGATTATAGATACTCTCTTCAAGAATTCTCACAGAGATTTTCAGAGTGTTAACTCTCAGTATTATAGAGAGTAGTTGCACAGAGTTCTCTTCTTTCTCTTCTCTCTTCTCTTATAAGAGATTGAGAGACTCTTCAGTCAATCTCTTTATAACACTTAGTCTGAGCATTCTGTAAAGCTTTTCTGTCTTTTCTAGTCTCTCTGTGTCTGTTATTCTGATCTTCTTAATATAGTCTGACCTGTAAGAGAGTCTTGTCTGCTGAGTTCTTAGTTTTCTTGATATATTCTATCTTGAATCAGAACTCACTCAGTCTCTGAGCTCAGTGAATCTGCTGCTGTAAGAGTTTCTTAATTAAAGTAAACTGTTGTAAGCTGTCATAATCAGTTCTAATAGTAATCACTGTCACAAGGCTCTCAAAGTAGTGATATCAGTGATGAAAGAATTTCACTATTATAAGAAGCTTCTGATTATAAATGTTATAGTTAATCTCTGTAAGTTGCATCTTCTGCAAGAAAAAGATCACTGAAACTCAGTTCTCATTTGACTGTAGTTATAAGACTATTTCTGAAATTGTAAAGAAGAAGATATCTGTCTTCAATCTGATTAAGAGTAAGAAATCAAAGTGAAATAGTATCACTGTGTCTATGAATATCTGTTTCAATCTTGTAAAGACCTCATGAGCTTCTGAGATAAGAAAGTTCTTGCAGTTCTTTATTATTATTATTATTATTCTTCAATTATAGATGTATGCAGTCAGAGACTATGACATCTATCTGAGAATCTTTAGTTCTCAGAGTTTTTCCTATATCTATAGAGTCAACTATTATACATTTATCAATTTCAAATATGCAAAATCAGAAAATTCCAGCTCAGAATACAAAAACTGTTTACAAATTGCAGTATTTCTGTTTATAAGATGACTTCTTATTTTCACTCTTCAGCATGTCTGTAAGAGTCAAGAAGATTCTTATAAATGCAAAGATAAACTATCTATAGAAATTCACAAAGCTCAGAAAGATCTGAATCTCATGAATACTAGTTAAGTTTAGTCATGATAGAATAGTCTTAATCTGTGAAGATTTCATCTGAATATCATCTGTGAGAATTACATATTCTAGAAAATTAATTCAACAGATACTGAAGTTACACTTTATAAGCTTAATATACAGTTCTGTCTCATCTAAGATCTTCAATACACTTTACATATACTCAGTGTATTCTTTCTTCTTCACGGAGTACATTATCATATTATTCATATATATTACTACAAAGACATTCAGATATGCATGAAGTATTTTATTAATGAAAGACTGAAATACTGTGAGAATATTAGTCAGATTAAAAGACATTACTAGATATTCAAACAATCTCAGTGCAGTTCTAAAGACAGTTTTTCATTCATTCTCAGACTGTATTCACAGCTGTATATATACATTAATCATATTCAGTTGTGTGAATATAACAGCTCTCATGAGACAGTTGATTACATTCTCAATCAGAGATAGAGAGTAGCAGCTCTTTATTATCTTGAAGTTCAGATTATAATAGTCTACATATAATCTGAGATCTTTATTCTTCTTCTTCATGAATATCACAGAGACTTCTGTAAAGATCTGTGAAGATTGAATAAAGTCATTCTTCAGATTCTTCTTTACATAGATCTGCAAGGCCTCTGTCTCATGATAAGAGAGCTTATAGATTAGTTCTCAGAAGAATTTCTATTCTTCTATTAAATCTATTATCAGATTCTTCTTATAATGAGAAGAAAGCTCAGCTGTCTTTACTGAGCTGAATATCTCTATAAAATCTCAGTATTTCTCTGATATCTGAAGCTCAGTTTTCATGACTGTAAGATTCTCAGATATTCACAAAGTTATTATATAGATAAGCTTGTCTTCTCTAATTAACTCTGCAGCATCAACTGATTCTATCTCTGTGAGTGAGTCTATTAACACTGAGTGAAAGTATAAACCTGATTCACAGACAGCTATGTGTGAATTATATCTTTAAAGTTATACAAGTTTCAAGTACATGTCATCTGTGATGTCTGTGATAATCACAGTTTCTGCAAATATTCTTCAGGTTTCAGAGAGATCTTGCAATTCAAAGATAACTCTTATAAGTCTCTCAGCTCTCAGATCTGAGTTCTCATACTCTGCTTATTATAAGAGCAGATTCTCAGTTTTTATCATTCAGCTCATTTACTCTGTGAGCTTTAAAGACACTACAGTGATCTGAGATTCTGAGTTTATTAATACTTCTTATACTTACAGAGCAGCAGTACTGCAGTATGATCTCTTCTCATAAGCAAGTATTTTTATCAGAGAAGCAACAGATTCAGATATCAGCTTTAAAACTCTTAAAAAGACTGTTACTGACTCTGTTCACAATTTCTCAAATTTCTATTTTAATTTATTCAGACAGTTTGTGTGAAGATGTTCTGATTTAGAACAGATAAAGCAGAGTCTCTTTTTCTTAATCTTTCTATTATACACTCTGTTTATAGAAGCTTATGAAGCTCTCTCTCTCTGCTCAGTAGTCAGATATGAATCTCTCTATATTTTATCATCTTTTTCTGATAAATCTATTCTCTGTTATTCTGATTCTTACAGAGTCAGTTAATAGTTCACTCTCTGCAGATCTGTGACTCTCACAGTGATCTGTAAGTAATAGATGAGAGTTATCAGTTTCTTCAGAGTTAAGAACTTAGAGTCTTACTTAATGAGCTTGTTCTGCATATTTTTATTCAGCTTCTTTATAAATATCATCATTCAGATCTTGTTTCAGAGCTCTGTTTTCACAGACTCTAATTCATATCATAATTTTATAAAGTACTGTAAGTAGTCTTCATCAGATTTCTCATCTCTTTTTCTAATATTAATAATTACAGCTCAGATGTTCTTCATTCAGCTTATAGAGTCTCTCAACTTATTCTTTAAATAGATCTTAAGAACAGATTAGTGAAATCTTTCATAATTATTCTCTAGATAATTCTGTAAGAATAAGTGCTCGCAGGCGATTATTCGGGTGTTTGCAGCTTGGCGTGATATGTACTGTTAACTACTAGAAGTGTTCGCGGTAGGAAGATAAATGTAGAGGTCAAATGTATAATAGTATTCAAGCTGAGTTGTGAATAGTATTCGCGAACTCCAGTCTATATAGTTGTGTGTAGCCAAGGGCCACTAGCCCTATTGGTTATGCAAGAGATAGGAATAGGGGTAAAGAATCCGCGAGGAGCGGGATTTCTTACATACTCTCCTCTCTCTAAGGCTTCATCTGTGAAGCCTTTCACTGAGTGACTTCATAGTCAGCTCAGCACTGCAGTGATACTCACTAAAAATCCTTCACATCTATAAAAAACCTCAGTGAGGAAAAATCCCTTGTTATCACAAAGAGAAAAGAGTCTGTCACTCAGTTCTTTATTCTGTGAGATTCTTTGTGACCTACAGATTCTTCTCTGACTACCATGCAGATTCATCTCACATCTTTCATACAGAAGGGTTTTGATTGACTCTCAATCATTTTCACAAGATTCTTGTGTGATCATCACACAGATTCATCTCACAGATGAATCACTCTCTGTGAGATCACTCTCATCAAAGAGAAACATTCACAAGTTGATCTTTTATTCATTCTCACAAATCATTGCTCTTTGACACTGTAGAATTGTGAGGAATTTTTCATTCTTTCATCAACTCTGTAGAATTGTAGAATCAAGATGTCTGCAGTCTGCAATCACTCTTTGTAATTATATAGAAAGATTCAGGCCTGCAATTCACAATCACTCTTATTTGCTAGAGTGATCTGACTGTTCTGCAGAATCACTCACAGTGCAAGTAAACCTCTCTAGAGTAGTATAAGTATCTCAGATCTGTTCATGGAATCTTATCTTCTTTTCTCTTTTTCTGTAACAGCTCTCATTCTCACAAACTGTGAGTATTCTCATTCATTCACAAAGTGTTTTCACTCAGATGACAGAGAGAGAGTGTTTCTGACAATGTTCACATATTGATTCAAGAACTTCTCAAGAATAAAAATTTTTTTAATTTCAACATCTTCACAAACAATGTCTGACTGCTGCTGAGCTTCTTATGAGTGTCCTCACAACTTCTCTGATCACTTTTTGCTGGCTGGTGGAGCAGGGACACTGTCATCCATGACTGTGCCTTCACTCTTCTCAGCCTCACCACTGCATCCAATCTTCAAGCCAGCAGCCCACCTCATCCCTTCCCCAGGCCAGCCCCTGGCTTCAAGCAGTGCAGTCCCTTCCTTTGCTGTAAGTCTTCTCATAAGTAATTCCTTACAGATCCTAGCTGACAGTTCTTACAAAGCTCTCAGTGTTGCCAGTGCCTTCTGCAGCCTCGCAGGCCTATGACCACCTCTCTTCTGCCTGCACAATCTCTGACCAGGCATATGTGAATATGCCTAGATTCCCTGCCAATGGTTCTCACGCCGCGGCGCATTTCTGCAATTTCATTGTCAATGAGAGATGAATCCCCAGGTACCCACAAAATCCGAGTAATCAAGGCAATGTGAATGTCATGAATTCACAACAGGAGTTAGTCTGAGCAGATGAGCTCTCTCTCTGCATCTTCATTGTTTTCAGGCTGAATACTTCAACACAACTGAGAGAGTGAACACAGCTTTGTGAGAGATATCTGATCACATGTGCAGATAATCAGTCTTCAAGGCTCTGCTGCAACTGCACATGCCCTGATGTTCAGCTTCTCTGAAGTCTGTGCATTTCTGACAGTCTTCATATCAAATGTAATAATTGTCTGTACTGCAGACATGATACTCTCTGCTTCTTTGAAGAGAAAAATTGATAGTTGTGAAAGGATTGAGTGTCACAGATATTAATAATATAAGTGTAAGTTTTCTTTGTTTTTTCTTTGTTAATCTCTAAATTGTATTCACAGCCCTGTTTATTTTCTTATTTTTTAACTTTAATAAGAATATGTTTTCTTCTTTTCTTGCATACACTGCAGACTGTTCATCTCAGTAGAAACTCATTATCTTATAGACTAGGATTTATAAATGACAGTGTTAATATCTTTATCATAATCAGGTTCTTAGCAAAGACTGTGTTATTCTGACTTATCAGGATTTATAGCATGGAAGTCATGTCTCAGCTTCTGCAGATATCTTATCTACTCAGATGATTCTCAAGTGAACTCATTCATCTTGTCAGAATACTCTTGTCACTGAACCTTGAATCAGAGCTCATAATCTCACTTCTCTGAGTTAATAATTTCTTTAATCTGGTATTCTCTTTCACTCTCTAGTGCTTTATGAACAGAGTGATGAGTCACAGAGTTCTCTTCTGAGAATTCCTTATATTCACAGAGTAAAGAGACATAAAAAACATTATATATCTATAATTCAGATGACAGTTTCAATCTGTAGAACTGTGAACTAACTTTCTTCATAATCTTATAAGACTCTGTCTGTAAGAGATTCAGCTTCTTGCTAGATCTCTGCATGATAATGTTTTCTAGACTCAGTCAGACTCTATCATCTTTCTTGAAACTCTTCACAATGTGCTTGAAGTCATAGTATCTCTTCTGATACTCTTGAGTCTTTCTCAAGAATTCATGAACTTTCTTCTGAATCTTCTGAATTCTCTCAGCCTGTTCACAGGCATCATCACACTCTATAGTATACTCTCGCGGGTTCATCAAGATCATCTGCAGATGAGTCTCAGTGAGCATCTCAAAGAGGGTTTTATCTGTACTGACATGCTTTGAGTTGTTGTACACAAACTCTGCAAGTAGCAATCAATGCACTCAGTCATTCTGATTGTAATTGACAAAGCATCACAGATACTGTTTCAATATACTTATCAGATGTTCTATCTGATCATCTGTCTGTTGATGAAAAGTCATACTTAGATCTCATAAGATCTTCAGTATAGTTATCAGGTCAGATCAGAACTCTTCTGTAAAGATTGATTCTCTGTCTGAGACAATGTTCACAGGCAATTCATGCAACTGGATCACATTGTAGACAAAGATATGAGTCAAATCCTTTGACTTCAAGTTCTTGTGAGTGAGTATAAAGTGTGTTATCTTGATGAAGTAATTCACTATCACCAGCACACTGTCAAAGCAGGCATCATATATGTCCTTGCTTTCAGAGAGGCTCATAAGAGTATTCATTTCTAGCTGTTTCCAAGGTTTCTGTGAGATGAGTAGAGGAGTGAGTTCTTCATATGACCTGGACCACACTACCTGTGAACTCTGATAAACAGCACAAGAATTCACTATCTTCTTCACAAGTTCTCACATCTTCAGTCAGAAGTATTTTCTTACAAGTAACTCATGAGTTCTAGTGTCTGTAAAATGACTCATTAGAGAAGAGTCATAATGCCTTTTGATGAGTTCTATGTGTAGAAACTTATTCACAGGTATATAAATCCAGCCCTCTCTTTGCAAGAGGTTATTTAAGTCTCTTCAATTCTTTGTTTCTGCAGAATTGATCTCTGTCATGAGCAGTTTCTGAATATGCTGAGCATATTTATTCTTCAGTTGCAGTTCAGACAATCTGAATAGAAGATCTTGCAAAGACTTGTGCTCTGTTTTCTCTTACATCAGGTCTTTCATGATGCTTCTCAAAGCCTGCAAACTCTTCAGGTTATAGATACTCTCTTCAAGAATTCTCACAGAGATTCTCAGAGTGTTGACTCTCAGTGTTACAGAGAGTAGTTGCACAGGCTTCTTCTCTCTCTCTTTCCTCTTCTCTTACAGGGAATTGAGAGACTCTTCAGTCAATCTCTTCACAACACTCAGTCTGAGTATTCTGTGAAGCTTTTCTGTCTTCTCTAGTCTCTCTATGTCTGTTGCCCTGGCCTTCTTAACATAGTCTGGCCTGTGAGAGGGTTTGTCTGCTGAGTTCTTAGTTCTCTTGATATGCTCTATCTTGAACCAGAACTCACTCAGTTTCTGAGCTCAGTGAACCTGCTGCTGTGAGAGTTTCTTGATTGAAGCAAACTGTCACAAGCTGTCATGATCAGTTCTAACAGTAATCACTGTTATGAGGCTCTTGAAGTAGTGACATCAGTGATGAAAGAATTCCACTATTATGAGAAGCTTCTGATCATGAATGTCATAGTTGATCTTCACAGGTTGCATCTTCTGTGAGAAAAAGGCCACTGAAACCCAGTTCTCATTTGACTGTAGTTGTGAGACTATTTCTGAAATCATAAAGAAGAAGGCATCTGTCTCTAATCTGGTTAAGAGCAAGGAATCAAAGTGGAACAGCATCACTGCATCTGCAAATATCTGTTTCAACCTTGCAAAGGCCTCACGAGCTTCTGGGGTAAGAAAGTCCTTACAGTTCTTTCTTCTTAACAACCTTTCCATCCTCCATTCACAGGATGACTTCTTCTTGTTTTCACTCTTCAGCATGTCTGTAAGATCCAAGGAGATTCTTGTAAATACAAAGATAAACTGTCTATAGAAATTCACAAAGCTCAGAAAGATCTGAATCTCATGAATACTAGTTGGCTTCAGTCATGATAGAATAGTCTCAACCTGTGAAGGTTCCATCTGAATATCATCTGTGATGATTACATATTCTAGAAAATTAATTCAGCAGACACTGAAGTTGCACTTCACAAGCTTAACATACAGTTCTGTCTCATTTAAGGCCTTCAACACACTTCACACATGCTCAGTGTGTTCTTCCTTCTTCATAAAGTACATCACCACATCATTCAGATATATTATCACAAAGACATTCAGATATGCATGAAGTGTTTTATTGATGAAAGACTGAAATGCTGCAGAGACATTAGTCAGATCAAAAGGCATTACTAGATATTTAAACAATCTCAGTGCAGTTCTAAAGACAGTCTTTTATTCATTCTCAGACTGTATTCACAGCTGTGTATATACATTGATCACATTCAGTTATATGAATATGACAGCTCTCATGAGACAGTTGATCACATTCTCAATCAGAGACAGAGAATAGCAGCTCTTTGTTGTCTTGAAATTCAGGTCATAGTAGTCTATACACAATCTGAGATCTTCATCCTTCTTCTTCACAAACATCACAGAGGCTCCCACAGAGGCCTGTGAAGATTGAATGAAGTCATTCTTCAGATTCTTCTTCACATAGGTTCACAAGACCTCTGTCTCATAATGAAAGAGCTTATAGATTGATTCTCAGAAGGGTTTCTACTCTTCTATCAAATCTATTACTAGATTCTTCTTATGATGAGAAGAAAGCTCAGCTGTCTTAACTGGGCTGAACATCTCTGCAAGATCTCAGTATTTCTCTGATATCTGAAGCTCAGTTTTCATGATCACAAGATCCTCAGACACTTGCAAAGTCATTACATAGATGAGCTTATCTCCTCTAATCAACTCTACAGCATCAACTGCTTCTATCTCTGTAAGTAAGTCTGTCAACACTGATTGAAAGTATAAACCTGACTCATGAACAGCTATGTGCGGATTATGTCTTTGAAGTCATGTAAGTCTCAAATACATGTCATCTGTGATGTCTGTGATAATCACAGTTTCTGTAAATCTTCTCCAGATTTCAGAGAGATCTTGCAATTCAAAGATGACTCTTGTGAGTCTCTCAGTTCTCAGGTCTGAGTTCTCACACTCTGCTTGTTACAAGAGCAGGTTCTCAGTCTTCACCTTTCAGCTCATTCACTCTGTGAGCTTTAGAGACATCACAGTGATCTGAGATTCTGAGTTCATCAATGCTTCTCATGCTTGCAGAGCAGCAGCACTGTGATGCAGTCTCTTCTCATAAGCAAGCATTTTCATTGAAGAAGCAACAGATTCAGGTGTCAGCTTCAAGATCCTTAAGAAGGCTGTTGCTGACTATGTTCACAACTCTTCAAATTCCTATTTTGATTTGTCTGAACAGTTTGTACAGAGATATTCTGATTTAGAATAGATGAAGCAGAGTCTCTTTTTCTTAGTCTCTCTGTTGTACACTCTGTTCATAGAAGCTTGTGAAGCTCTTTCTTCCTGCTCAGTAGTCAGACATGAATCTCTCTGTGTCTTGTCATCTTTTCCTGACAAACCTGTTCTCTGTTGTCCTGGTTCTCACAGGGCTGGTTGATGATCTGCTCTCCGCGAGTCTGTGGCTCTCACAGTGATTCATAAGCAATGAATGAGAGTCATCAGTTTCTTCAGAGCTAAGAGCTTAGAGTCTTGCTCAATGAGCTTGTTCTGCATATCTTTATTCAGCCTCTTTATAAACATCATCATTCAGGTCTTATTTCAGAGCCCTGTTTTCACAGATCTCAATTCATGTCACAATTTCATGAAGTGCTGTGAGTAGTCTTCATCAGATTCCTCACCTCTTTTTCTAATATTAATGATCACAGTCCAGGTGTTCTCTGTCTGACTTGCAAAGTTTCTTAACTTATTCTCTAGATAGGTCTTGAGAACAGATCATCAGAATCTCTTATAATCATTCTCTAGATGATTCAGTCAGTCCTTGGCTTCAGTGTAATAGAGGTCTGTTA